CGGCGGAAGGGGCCGGATCAGTGGCAGCATCCCTGCCGGAGGCAGTGTTTGCGGGGCAGGTAGTGTCTGCGGCGGAGGCATAACCGGCGCCGGGGGTAGTGTCAGAAGAGGAATTCAGCGCAGGAATGATAATCTTGATGGGGGTAGATGTGGCTGGTGATGGAATGAGTATGGTGATGCGCTCGAGTGATCCTTGCTGAGCTATCTGGTCATTCAGGCGAGATGTACTCTTGTCTTGCTCAGGATCTTCAAGTACTGAGGAAATCGACATTACATCAGCCAAACAGCAAGACTCCTTGTGACTTGTGTATTGATGGGATTAGAACTTCAGGGAAACTTATTGCGAATTGCTTTTTTTTTAGAACGTCTCTGTTACAATGGATACAACCGATACAATGGAATGAATATATTGTAATCTTCTGGTTGGTTACATACATTAAATTATTTACCTCTCGCAATAGATTAAGAAAAACATTTATTTTGCTGATGTTTAAACCGGTCTACCAATTTCATGTTTACAACTTTTCGTATGTTTTTACAGCTAAAGCACGACTATTCTCAAAGCTGCTTTCACAGTGAAATTTTTAAGTAATTAAAAAAAAAATGTTTGACCGCTATTACAATACTGTAGGTAATGTTTGTTTGGGATTCTACCTACGGAGCAGGAGGAGAGTAGATGGGACCGCCTGGTGAGTGTCGTTGGGATTAATATTGATGAAAATGCAACTCACCTTTTTGCCGTTGGGAATGTAGTAGGTCGTGGAAACGTCTCTCCAGCCGATTCTCGGCGGCTATAAGGGTTGCCTCCATCCGTCTGTTTAGCCGGTGTTCCAATGCGTCTACCGCATTGCCTAGCACATTGTTCAGCCTCTCGTCCAAAGCGTCGTCCAGTGCCCGACGCACCCGCCCGTCCATCTCCCCCAGCCACGTCTCCAGGCGGCGCAGCTTCGTCGTCATCTGGCGCATCGAGTCGCGAAGGTCATCTGCGCTCGCCGCCTGCAAGCAAAGCAGTGGAATATTTAGTGCTCGTGACATTCCTATGTTGTACGTCATTTCAGGCACATGAAGCCTGCGCCGGCACCTGCCCGCCTGGGAAACCCGGCGCCCCAGCGGCAACTTCCCCCGACTCCGCTCTATTTCCCCTCCGAATCCTGTTAAAGGAGAAGATACACGCCGTAGCTGACCCTGAAGCGCAAAGCGTACTTTTAGCCCAACAAATTATACCGACTTCATACGAAAAACCTGATGATTATTTTTGAATGGCGAATTTTTTCTTTGTTTGTTATATGTTATAATTTGTTTCACCATTCAGTTTTTTGTAGTATACTGTGGTCATAATATGAAACAAAATTAAAAGATAACTTAATTAAGCAGTCTACTTTATGAGCGAACATCTTTTTCTTTGTCCTGAACGTCACGACCTGAATGTGGACGTCAACGTTATTACTGTACTCTTAACTAAACACACTTACGAAGCGAAGGTCATGGTTATAAGAATGTTTAATTTTAATCTTACCCAAAACTTTTGTAGATGATCGATGAATTATTTTGTCTCAATGAATAACACTCATTAGGAAGATGGACAACATCATTTTAGCTTTCCGGTAACTAGCACCGTCTTCTCGAGTACACTGTAAAGAGCCAGATATCCATCTCCCAACATACTATTTATACAATCCCTGGTAGCAGCGTTCAGAATGAATCAGCAAATGCATATTGGAAGCGCACTATTTGTATCTGCCAGAAAGCTTCAACTTTCTTCTTGAATTTATCAAGAAGAGCATCAAGCATAGAATGATGCTTTAACGTCATTCTGCAGCCTGTTTCCCTGTAGATCTTCATTAAGATCAGGACTAGTTTCTCAGTTTTCAGACTAGTTATTGGCCAGAAAGCGCTGACCTGCAATGAAGATTGACCAAGTAGCTTTCCTCTTGTCATTAAGTGTATGTGGAAACAGCTTTTTTGACCTTTGAACCAAGTTAGGTATGAATGTATCAAGATATTTGGAAACTGCTGGCTCCTACAAACTGCTCCATAAGCCCCAGCTTTAATTGCTTTGTTTGGGTTCTAACGTCTCAACTCGCAATCAACCTTGCGTCAATATGAACACGACAAACCTTTCTCCGCTCGCACCATACACTATCTGCTAAATCAGCAAAAAAGTGAACCACTGTAAGTACGTGAGTCGTGTATATGGAGTCGCAACTTCAATTTTTGATAGCAGTTCGTAAACTTTCTATGATGGGTAACAGGTTATTCCACTCTCCAAAAATAGAATTCTGGACTTTGAGAAACTTCAAAACATACTGCTCAGTTTTTCTATATCTGAAAGCTTCGTGGTGTTAAAAAAACAAAAATTTACAGAAGGTAGAACTAAATCTGTACTTTTTTTCCCTACGAAATGTTCTTGATTACTTTTATAATATACATCATGCTCAAGAGCACGTTTTACTTCTGACAGATGGAATAAGTAAGAAGATTCGTACGTTAATTAATGTTGATAGATAATTCCCATCCTATGCTTATAATATTAATAATAATAATAATAATAATAAATAATAATAACAATAAATAATAATAACAATAAATAATAATAACAATAATAATAATAATAATAATAATAATAATAATAATAATTATTATTATTATTATTATTATTAATATTATTTTCATTTACTTTTATAATTTCACCCCTTAACAGGTAGTTTCAATTTTAAAATTAGAAGCCATTCAAATAAATAAGATTCTTAAACAAGAACTTGTAACTGAATTCCGACTTAAATTATTCAATTATCAATATTCTACACTGTGATAGATCATTAATTGGACAAAATCGCTTGCTATGATCACTTAAGATCTTGGTTAGCGATTCCTTACCCACCCATATAACTGTACAAATAATAAAAATAAATGCCATTATACATCTAAAAGACTTGAATCATAAGAGATACAACGTCCTGTCAAGCAGACAAAATTCCCTACCACGACACACAATTACAACATATCAATGGAATTTCAGGAGGTACTGATTTTAGCCCGTGAAAATTTCTTGTGCCATGATTAACTCCACAAATCTTTTATATAAAACATCTTCGTGTTTAAATTAAGCAGGTGGATTCGGATAAATTCATAAATTCGATATGATGGCTCGTTTAGTACTCGTTCTGAATGTTAAAGGTATCAGTTATTGTATGTTTAACTTTTTTCTGTGTCAGTCGAAATTGTAATGAGCTCGCGTCACCTACTTCCCTCCTCAACACGTATCAGTTCCCTTCGCTCAGTATTCGACCACACCCGGCCGGCGTACCACGTTCTTTCGCCTTGTAGCAACAATTCTTAGTATCATGAATAACTGTTTATTAGCAGAAACTATTCATTTAATACAAAACATATCGCCATATGGTCGTTCAGATAACACTATTCACAACTGGGAGTTTTCACAAATTTAATGCAACTGTTCCAATCAGTAACTAGTGTACATTTTTTCAAAATGTAATTGTATACTGATAATTGCTTTTATAATTTTACTTGAAACCTGGAGATGGAAATAATTATATCCAAAACATCGCAATTATAAAAGTTAATTAACTATGTATTTTACATTTTTAATACAATGGATATCCAAAAATTACATATTTCTGTTTATAAAATCTATCACCACGTAGAACCCGTGAAACGCGATAATAGCACTCCGAGTGCGAGTGGTTGGCGATGCAGGGCATAGGACTTGTTGGTGATCGACGTGGACACTCAGTTTTAGTGTTTGGCCAGTTGGTACCTGGGCGTCCGGTGACGGGGAAGGTGGCGAGGGGCCCTCTGGCGACGCATGGTGCAAGTGGTCGTCGAGCGACGCGACCTGATCGACCTGAGCGGCTTGATCGACCTGAGCGGCCTGAGCGGCTTGATCGGCTTGAACGACCTGATCGGCCTGATCGACCTGATCGACCTGATCGGCTTGATCGACCTGATCGGCTTGATCGACCTGATCGGCCTGATCGGCTTGATCGACCTGATCGGCCTGATCGGCCTGCCCGTCCTGCAGAACGCTGCGGACGTTACGAGACTCCTCGTTTTCCATCACACGACTCGGTTCGGCAGCACTCTGTCCAGCTCAGCCCGGCGCCCTGCAGCCTCTGCAACCAACAGCACAACAGGGATCACCACCATTCTTTAAGTAAAAATAATTCAATGTAGCGAGGTTTACTTAACCGTCCTTACGTCGTAAGAGGATGAAAATGAAATAGTGCAACAGAAAAGGTGAATTTTCGACAAAAACACTAATTGCCTGGATCTGGGAACGAAAAAGTGGATAATGTTCATATATATATATATATATATATATATATATATATATATATATATATATATATATATAGCAAATTACTTCCTGTAACATGTGTTAATTCATTTTTTACTAATTAATATTGCAGATTTTTTCAAAAAGCTGAAGATTATCCTGCGATGATTGCTGTTAATTTTAATGTTGAAGAGAACGCCGTAGAGACAATAGTATTTAAGTTCAGAGTCAGAAACGGAAAAGTGTGGCATTAGAGAAAGACCAAAGCACACCAGGAAAGTGAAACAATGAGGACTGGAATAAAGTGCAAAAATCGAAGAAACATCAAATTGACTGAAAACTTTTAAACTACACGGGCGGAGTCATTCAATTTTATAAAAAAAACTACTTAAAACTGCAAATTGTGGAAATTTCTGCCTTTACAACTTGACACCACTCCAGAAGAGCAAGAATTTTCATTTTGTAATTGGAAAGTTAGTCTGAAAATGTCAGCTACATACTAATGTGCGTTTTCAGAAAGAAAGACAACACTTATAAACATTTTTAAACCGTCGAAAAAGAAACATTGCCTATAAGTTCTATGTTACAAATAAACAACCTTGTTTGTAAAAAGTTCTACTTCAATACACTTGCTATAAACCAGAAGATGATACAATACTTAATACAATGATAATGTAACAAGATCCCCGAAATTGGGATCGAAGTTGCAACACTAAGAACAAAGGTGAATACATAGAAAACATGGGAAACAGAAAAACAGGAAGATTTTAGGAAGAAATGTGAATTTACAATTGTAATGCCCTTTAATTTAGAAAAATAGTAGGTATACCGGGAGCTAATATAAGTAATTTCTTCTACAGAAGGAAAAAAATCATTTAAAAGTTATTGTCTTTCCAACCAAAGCAATTTGGACCGAAATGGACGCAAACTTGTGGAAACGACTTTGTATGTGTCACGTGTCAATTTTTGAAGAAAAAAAAAAGAAACAGAGAACCCGAGGAAAGTATTTTAACGTAGTGACAGCTATGTACCCCAAAATAAGAATTAGATTATCAGGCCAGAAACGTGCTTGGACACGCAAATATTGTTGATATAGTTATGAAATATTCTATTACTGCTCACTGAGGTAGTCGAGTATTAGACCATGTTAATTCCAGAAACAGAAAGCTATGAAATCTAATGAATACTGGTCAACCATATTTGTTGCAAATTGATGATTCTGACAGTAAATAGAAAAATACCATATATCTGTGTTTAAATAAAATAGGATTTTTTAAGTTTTGCAATCAAAAATCACTAAAAGGCAGGTTGAATAAGAATACAAAATTAATCAGATTCACTGTTATACTTCGCACATTTGCGACAAATTTACCCAAGGTTGGTGGCGATAAGAAATTCTACATTGTATTCGCCTGCGCAGAAGTACACAGATAAAGAGAAGATTTTAAGTTAGCAGGTTAAGCATACGAATTGAAATAGATGCCAGATCTGGATAGAAACTATTTCAAAAATTTGCTGAAGGCGAAAATAAAGTTCTAGCTATGCTGCCTTTTCAATTTAAGATTTACGCATATGTAACATTTCAAATGTGAGCAGAATTCAGTAACTTACAGTAAACATTTCCCACGTCTAATCCATTAATTCTAAGTAACATCATTAAATTAAAATACCAATTTTGTAGAGCACGGTAAAGCGGTATGCACCAAAATGGGAACTTTCGGGGGAATTACTGTAAAGGAGTACTAATTAGTAAATGGTACAGTTACATGGGTAATTGCAATTCTTTACGTTTTATACCAGTCAAATAATACAATCATAAATAATTGAACCTTTTTGATCGAACTTTTTAGACGAGTAAAAATGTTCTCTGAAAATCTATCACCGCCTCGGAACCTACCAAAATTTCAATTCCTTCAGAATATTAATGTCTGTAGTTTTGTTCTTGGAAGTCAAGAACAGTGACAAAGTTTGAATAGGTACATTTAATGAAATATTTTATTGTAGAGAAATATCTTTGAAATGCTCTCTTGTAAAAATTTACTGCGGTCCAGATAAAATCTATTAATTTAGGAACGCGAATTGCAGTTAGCTATTTCTTCTTGTGAAATATATCTATTTATGTGGCTTGCAAACAACCCTTTATTGCCGTGGAAAATAAATTTTCAGCACATTTGTAATATTAGTTAGCTTAAAAATATCTATATGTGTATATTCACAAACAGAAAATTACGTAGGTAACCTGATAATTGAAATAGTAAATCGATTCAGATTTGAAACTAGACGACTGAATTCACGGCAACCCTAAATTTTGTAACGTAAATTTCTTCGCGTGAACTACTGCCCTGGCAACCTGGTACGCTTACTTGCAGCTTTTCGATGTGAACAGCTCGCAACACCTCAAAAGACTGAGGCAGGGTGGAAAGG